TATTAGTTCATTCTTGAAGCTTCCTGGACTTACAAACTTGAACGCTTCTACTGCGTCAAAATCTTTACATTTCAGGCACTTCAAAGACAATTTTCAAAAGAGGATGTTTTTAGAGCCGTCTTGGAAGTACCGCCTTTGCTATTTTATCTCATTTGGACCGAGTTTAACAGAAAGGAACCAAGTCACATCAGCTATTGCCAAGTTTAACCGGGCAATTAATTTTTTTACGAGAGAACGTTTGTTCGGATTTCTTTGAAAATTTTAAGGAATTTGCTTCGCATCATGGAGAATTTTCACTGAAATTTGCACGAAAATCCGCACAACCGTTTTCATGTAAAAAATTAAATTGCCCAATTAAATTTGGCAATAGCTGATGCGGCTTGGTTCCTTTCTGTTTAACGCGGTCCATTTTTCACTCCTTGTAAGTTGCTCTTGGTTTGCAAAATTTGGTCACAACTTGTCAGGAAACTTTGGTCACAATTTGGTGTTGCTGATCAATCAAACCATTCGGTTTGTCGAGCAGACTTTCAATTTTTGTAACTGAGACCTTTTTTCCTTTGACCGAACGTTTGATGCGTCCATCCGAACCTCTTTCTTCGGCTTTGCTCAATCCAAAAGTTCACGTATACCGAACATTTGGTTAGACGAACCGAATATTCGGTTAGACAAATTGAACGTTGAATATCGAACTTCGGTTTATATGATTGAACTTCTTTTGCAAAGAGTAAAAAGTCCTCGAGAAGGAAAAATATATGAACATCAGAAGCAAGTAAAACGAGAAGGAGATTTCAAACTTTTTTAATGTGAACTTTCTGATTTCTCCGTAAAAATTAAAAAAAAAAAAAAAAAAAAAAATCTAGGTATCTTGCCTCTTGTCCGGAAAGGGCTACATTTAAATTCAATATCTCCACCCGTGCGTCTGAAAACTTTGAAAGGCAATCTTCCCGAATCCCTCACGGTCACGTCCAATCCTACGTCAATTTTTAATTCGGAGAAGAGAATTATTTTCCGCGCGGTCCCGCAATGCAGATTATTTGCTCTTCCATGCGGCAGTTTGTGTGGAACTCGATACCATCTCCGGGAACGGCAAGCGAAACCCATCACAGGTCATTGGCTGAGCGGAGAACCTCAACATTCGTTCCTCGAAAACAACAGTAAGCACCATGTGAGCCGCCAAGCGCGCATGGTTCCGTGGTAACCGCGGCCAACGCGAAGACTCACTTACTGCTCTTTTCCGTAGTATCGGGACTCGCACTCGTCCGTGCAGAATAACGAACATCTTCGCGATCACGAGGGGGTGGGCGGGGTCTCGGAATCAAATATTGTGTCTTTATTAACACCCCCTCCGCTGACACTTAGGAGCCTGAGTCACGTTCAAATTAAGGATGTACAGAATTTGTAATTCATAAAATGCTCGCGCATCGCGATTTTCGCAGCGTAATGGATTCCTAATTTGACGTTATGGATCCTCGCGCCGGGAAAATATGGCTCAAGTTTCCGTCTAACTCAAGTTCAATATCCCCGCTCCATCGCCCCCGCACAGTGGATCGAGTCAATAGGAGAGATCGGACAAAATTTGGAAACTTTAAACGCTTATAATTCCGTTCATTCAAAACTTTGCGGTTCTAAAAGTGGTTTCATTGGTTTTCTAGTGAAATTTTCTACTACATGCACCGCTTGAATTTCAAAATTTAACGAAATAAACATCTGAATTCGCGGTTTTAGCTAAAAATTTAATGTCCGACCTTTTTGATTGGCTCGATCCTCTGTGCGCCGTTGGCACAGTGCTGCCTGAGGCAGTACGTGCGCAGGGCTAGTAGGGGCTATAGAGGGCTTAGCGGGCCAGATATTATATCCTCCGTTTATTGACGCTTTTAGAGAGCCGTATGAAATTCGCCGTTCCCCACTTAAACTAACGACTGCTTAACTTTCGTTGTAAACTCGCTCGATTGCATAGGGGCCGCTGCAAATAGGATTAACGTGTTTTCCGAAGGGAAAAAATGGAGGGGCGGGCATCCTCGTTAGTAGTTCGGAGATTTCTCCTGATGCTAAATGTAAATTAATCGTGGAAAGGCCCTCCCCCTCGTGGAGCGTAATTCCGTGAAAAGAGTCGCTAGTCACTATCAAACGTGCAATAAAGGTAAATTAAGTTTTGCGCAAGAAAAAAAAAAGAAAAAAAGGAGGAGAACAAAAAAATGAGCTTGATAGTAGCTTGTCGATCCTTTTCGTGACGATGCTTTATTTGAGTGGAGAAAAAATCACCGCTTTCCCAAGACGATTCTAAAAAAGACTTTTGGGTCAGTTTTTCTAGTTTATTTTATTTATTTCTTATTCTTTGGTTTTCTCTTTCAAATTTCTATACACCCTGTGCTATGAAACCCATTATCAAGGCCAATTTTTGTACAACAGATCATGTTATACAAACTGCAATGTTGTACAACAGTGGCCAGAGAAAGATTGGATGAATGAGAGTCGGGTATGAACATCTTTTAATTTTTTTTGGTCGTTCTTTTGTCAACACGGGCCTAAGAGACCGCGAAGCGCCCTCTGGGGGTTGGGCCGCACGGCGGCTAGGGGGCGTAGCCCCTTAGTAGTCCTTAAAGTCAAACGAGTAATCTGCGAACGGGTTTTTGTGATCAATTTTTGTTTCCTAATGAGTACTTAATGGCAATGGAGGGTGGAATTGTTAGGAATCTCCTAATTTTCAGATTTTCTAACTTAAGGTGATTCGATGGACGCCGCATATTTTGTGTCAGAACGGCATGCGATGTATCGCATCAATTGGTTCCATTTTTTCAGCTACTCGTCATTTTTCTCCAATTTTGAGATCGCAATTCTGTTGTCAGGAGTCTAAAACACTCACTTACCAATTTTAACTAAGAAATTCAGCGTAATAAAGGCGTAGTTTTTTCAGAGAGAAAACATCGCATTTGATACTGATATCGAATCTGCACTCAAATCGCATGCCGTTCTGACACAAAATATGGCGTCCATCGAATCACCTTAAATCCAAAAATGTTTGTTTGAGGTTTTATTAGAAAAAAAGAAGAAGAAAAAATTGTGTTTGATAGCAGCTTGTCCCAAACGATACATCAAACCACTATCGAATACGATCCATTCGCAGTTTACAGACAGTCCCCTATGTATTTTAACCAGATCCGCAGACTAGTCCGCAAACCCTCAACCTCTACGCAACATGTAGAATCCTCCGAAATGAGGCAACGTTGCCCCATATAGGTATTCCAGGTATACCCATGCTCACTTTTGGTCGGGTACCCTGAATAATGGCGAAATTTTTCCGGCGGAACTTGACGAGCGGATACACTGCGGTAGACTCCGAATTCCGAGCCGGCGCTCGAATTAAAGTTTAATTAGAATCCGTCCCGACTCGAGATCAATTACGCGGAGGCGGTTCGAGTGCGATCTGCCCAAGTTTTGCGGATGTTCGGATCGCGTCGTCGCTTATGAGATTAGTTTATGCGGCTTGTCGCGAGGAAACGGAGCACCTTTGACGGAATTTGAGGGCGAAATTGCACTTGTAAAACACCGCACCCCCCCCCCCCCCCCCCCCCCCCCCCCCCGACCGCCGCCACCTTTCCCGCGCAGATAGTTGCGGAGCCCGCCCTTGAGTCCCCGGGCGAATTTTATGAAATCCTCCGCGGGAGTGAATGCGCTCGTTTCGGGGAAATTTTTAAATTTTGGTCGGAAATTCGAGGCATTTTAATATTTCGCTCGGCGGGAGTATTTAGTCGTTTATGCCACTCGTGCCGCTCCACGCAATATTAATCTCGTAACAACGTTATATTAAGTGGAGGAGCGTAATCTACCGTGCCGCCGGAGAGTGCCGCACCTTGTCAAATTTCCACAAAAATACGCTGCTCTGGAAACAAAACCACATTGGATCTAGAGTCTAGCCTCTCAGAAACATCGACAAGAAAAAATACTCTTGATTTAATCAGATTTAAGTTTAAATCAAGAACCAAGCCTCTTAATTTGAGCGGATTTCCTTTTGATTTAAGCTTAAATCTGATTGAATTAAGAGTCCTTTTTCTTGTCCATGTTTTCAAGAGTCTGGACTCTAGATCCAATGTGTTTTTTCCAGTGTAGTTTTTAGAAATATTTTGAACACCGAAAAAAAGTAGAGTTTATTTGACATTCTGGATGTAGAAAAAGTGTGCGAGAACTTACGAAATGCTGAGTTAACCGCTACAGCAGTTTCAATAGCAGTGTCAAGATGTAGAACTAATCACTGAACGGGTAATACAGCATTTTATGAGTTCACGCAAACTATTTTTTACATCCAGAATGTTAAATCAACTTCACTTTGTTTATAATGTCATAGACAATTCACGTTTCATCCAAAGAAATTCGGCATCGGTTGAATGTTGATAGGGAGTTTTTCCCGGCATGACAGCATCAGTTCCCAAGCGCAGTGATTTTATCCGCCAGAATCCCGGAATCCAGCTGCTTTGAATCTCATGACCGTCCTGGAATACCTGTGACGTAGCGCAAAGGCACCGTCGTTAAGTTTATTGTAATGCCTACATCTCGGATGTAATGAGTGAAATTCGAGCCCCGTCCTCTCGCCCCCCCCTTTTCTGTTCTGTAAGTCCTCATCTTTTCGGTCCTCCTCTGCTACGCGGACATTCTCGGCCCGGCCCAAGTTTTAAGTATCACAGTCGGCACTAATTATCCTCTATTTCCGCGAGCAATAAACTTTTAATTTTATTTCAGGCGCATTTACCCAGGACCGTAACTTCGGCCGCGCCCATGTTTTTATTCCTATTTGTGCTACGATACGACGTTGCCATGAAAAAATAATTTGAAAATAACTTTATTCACGATCTTCTAGTGCCACTTCTTTAATTTATCTGTATTGTATACTTTTTATAACTTTTAAAAATTTCACTAATTTTTCCCATCAACATCGCAATACAATTTTTTACACAGGAGATTTTTGTAACGCTTTTGTTAAAATTATTTTCACTTTTTTGTTCCAGATGAGATGATGCAAAAGTGATTAAGTGGCCAATTTTATGTCTCGGTGAGTGCGAAAAACGGTAAGTAAATCATATCATTTAAAACAATGTGATTCATCATGATTTTCAAGATGAGAATGTGTCACTCTATTTTTCTTCTCTCAAATTTTGAAAAGCCTGTTCAGTAAATGGCAGGTATTGTGCAAGGACACGGAAAAAAGTGTTAGGAGTTCCCCCTTAAAATTGTAGTACTACCCCAATATGTTGGATAATGTGGACATTTCCAATTAATCTTGATATTGTAACATTTGGGTTAGGAACCTAACTTGATGGGGTACTACCACAATTCATCGGAAATGTCTGTATCATCCAACAACCCCTTGCAATTTTTTCTGGGGGAAAATGAACTACTGGACGAGGTGCAAATTTTATCATTATAATATGTTTTTTTATATCAAAATTTGACGTACTTTCGTTTTGTAGGGCACAGCAAATTTGTCCTTCTTTCATGTGTAATTCCTGTATTTCAATCTTATGAAAAAAAGTACGTGGAATAAATTTTTATTCCTACTGCATGAACCCAGCATGATTGGGTGAGAGCAAAGAAGCAAGAGGTGACTTAAATGACGCTTTGATTGTTGCATTGATTTTTCTCGATGGAGCATGACTTCAAAGTGTAATTCCACCCTCTCGCTCCGCCGCAGGGAAAAATTAAGGGAGGGCAAAAATGTTACGGTGCGGCATTTTGATGATTGGAGGCAAAAACGCAGCGTCATGCTAAGGGCTTGCCTCTCCAGTCCCCGCCTCTCACCTGCCTTCCAGCGTCATGACCTATTTTCCTCTCGCTACAAAATTCGGTCGAGAATTGAAAATACTGGCTTTTTGTCTCCGAGAAAAATTTTTTAGACTGCACTCGGGCTGTAAACGTTCCCGCAAGATGCTAAGCGAGCCTCAAATTGCCGCGTATAAGCTAGAGGGAGAACTTACGGTGTGCATTAAATCAGACTCCAGGAACATGGAAAAATATGCACATACAGTGTGATCCATAAGTATGGACCTCCTCTCAATAGTTTGGTAACGGTTCCCCTGAGGGAGTTCAAACTTTGGTCGGGACCTTCGACCAATTATAGGCAGTTTATTAAAAGTGTAATACGAGGATGTACCCAATAGTAAGTTTCCCTATTTTAGTGCTGCTACAGTATCGTAGATGGAGAAAATCTGTGGAAAAAGTTTATTGAATCATACTCTCAGCTCTTTAACGAGCTATCATTTTTTTTTTTAAATTCGATCCACGAGTTGCTGAGATATTTGACTTCTTCTGAGCCCACCTCCTCTCGCCGCAGGTCCGATTTTTATGTGTGTAGGTTCGTACATACAAACATGTACATCACTTTATGTACATGTATGTGTGCATGCATGCATGCATGCATGCATGGGGACACAGAAATAATATAGCCGTCTGCGCATTCGGTTTGCGCACCGATCGAAACCCTGAAGGATTGCTGCCATGCTATGGAGAAACGCCTTATGAAATTCAAATATTGCTAAATTTATAACAATAAAATGACTATCTTAGAAAGAAGCTTTTAATATATGTCCTTGAAATTTTTCGGTACAATAGAGTCAAAAGCGGCTAAAATTTCTCAGAACGCAAAATTGAAAATTTGCAATTTTAAGAGCATTCGTATTTTGTAAAGAAAATTTGGCAACATTCTTGCTCATACGGCGTTTTCGCTTGGCGCTGTAGATTTCCGCTTCACTCAGGATGGAGTGTGTGATTAACTGTGAAACGCCGCCTGGAGTGGAGTGATATGTGTTCAAAGGCTGAATCACTGCAACAATGTCACTCGTCATTGTCATGTTTGATGGCCCAATTCGATCCTCTAACAAGAGCTCCTGGTCCCATCTATTAGTGATTAACGCAATTTTCGCTAGTTGAAGTACACCCATCACTGATGAGACAAAGATTCAGAAACCGCGTTGTAACTCGGCAGTCGGCATCATACCTCGCCAGTTTCAAGAGGTCACGTCTCTGTCGTCAATACTGCCGTGCTAAGGGAAAACGCCGTATTGGCCGTTATATGTCGCCGTATTTCTCTTAATAAAACGCGGATTTACCGGAAAGGTTTTGATATTTTTCTTCCGATTTTTCACACAATTTTGATCGCAATTAAAACCGATATACCTGTAAATATTAATGAAAAATATGCATAGCTTTCCTCAAAAATAAACATTTGGATGGTGGGGTTAACGTGACATCTATCGAATATTCATACGCTGTTTTTCCTTGCAGCACGGCAAATTTGACCTAGAGACAATTCGATGGTAAAACTACCAAGATTCTCCATGACTGAAAACATTACAATTGCAGAAACAATGCACAGTAGAAAGAGCCAATGGGAAGTCGATCATGAAATTTGCAAGTAAAACGGGCAATTTTTGATGTTTAATTCGTCTGATAGACTAGTAGATGTGGTGCAATGAGAGATATTTATTGATGGAAAAATTAACAGAAAACAGAAAAATGTCCACGATCCTTCGAGGAGTGCAGGCTCGCGTTGTGCACTATAGTCGGATATTGTGTTCACCGCACCGCGAGTGGTGGGTCTGACACCGAGAAATTACAATGATTAAAGCGGGCACTGTGCTGTACGCGCAATGCGTGAAGTATTCCTACAGTCTTGTAGGCGCTAATACGCGTTCCCGTCAACTGACCGACCGCACTGCGTTTGGCGCAATGCGAGAAGTATTCATGTAGTCTTGCAGGCGCCAATACGCGTTCCCGCCAACTGACCGACCGCACTGCGTTTGGCGCAATGCGAGAAGTATTCATGTAGCCTTGCAGGCGCTAATGTGCGTTTAACGTCGGCCGCACTGTGTTTGGCGTGATTATGCAAACTCGCGTCAGAATAATCGCGGCATCAAATAATGGGTCTTAACTCATGTTACAACTCAACGCCGTATGAGAATCCCAACGTTTCCTCGTCCCTCCCGATAAAATATTTTTTCCGAAACAAGTCAGGAACGTTCTCTATGTTCGCTTTTTTTTAGATTGAATGGTCCATTAAACAAGGAACGAATTGAATCACTCTGATACATGATTCTTCACCAAAATTCCACGTAGAACACGATTTTTCCATTGAAAATTACTAAACTCAATTCCTAACTAAGTTATCATCGTTTTTATTTTACATAGGTTACGGGCAATTTGAATTGTCCGGTTGACCCGCATTACTCTATAAGGGGTCCAATCACGCACTCTAATCATAGTGGCGGGTCTCTCAATTGAGCAATGTTCCTTCCAAAGTGCAAACAACTTACTACAGCTGAACCAAAGAGCCAAGATAAAGGTTGTCATATTTTCATACCGCAGAGACTGTCAGTATAATGTGCAGTACGCGCTTTGACTGAAGTAGGCTATTGTACTTTCATGAGCGAGAGGTTTGAATTCACGCGTCAAGAAATATTAAATATCTTGGTTAGAAGGTACTTTCAGTAATTTTCATTGCGTGAATCATGTTTATGTGAAATTTTACTTCAGGAATATGTGTCAGAAATGCTAAATTTCACACCATGTCTAGTGGTCCATGAGCAATGTTCACCTTTTACCTCTCCAGAAGGCTTGACCCCTTTCTCCTCTCGTAGAACCTAGGGTCCCTTTATAGGGAGAGTTGAGACAACGTGGCTCGTGGATGTCACAGACGGGAATAAAGATTATACACATCGAACATTTTTCGTAATTTTTGATTAACTCATTCCCGAATTCCTGTCTCTGTTCCCTCTCTCATCCCGTTTGTTCCTTGACGTGCCCCTTATTCCCCAGTCCAACCTTGTTCATATTCTTTGCAATTGGTGAAAATTTAATCTTAATTCCCGTGTATGACATTGTGGAGGCCTACAATACTGAAACCAATCAGAAATGGATTCGTATTGTCTTTACTCTCCGTGTAGTAAAGCCTCATAAGACAAATGCGGGCTCCCTTAAGTAGCGTATTTAATCACCGAACAGCCTTTAGTTCTTATCGAAAGGGGGTTAACTTTCAGATCACCCTGTACAGGAGCATAAACGGGGGCGCGATACAGGGAGGCGCAGGGTGATAAGTATAAGACGCGACTCTCGCCATGCGGTTGGTCCCCGAAAACATAACCATTCTGCGGAGCCGTATTTACGTAACTGGGTATTTATGCTAAAGCGGTCGTAACTCAAGACCGGCCCCCAACCGGAAACACGTTCTCATCGGTTTAAATTCGGTTCGCTCGCCCCCAGCCTCCCCCGCATCCGCAGCCGAGAACGGTAACCCGTTCTCGGAACTTTTTTTCTCTTTGCGCCGTTTTTAGGTGCGGGAAATCGGTGAACTTGTGCGAGATTTATCGGGTGACAGTTGAATACGCGTAGCGTTGCGGGCGCCACACAGTGGATCAAGTCGATGGGAGAATCGGACAAAATTTGGAAATTCCAGAAATATTAACTCCATTGATCTTCATTTTAATTGGATTACATTTTGCAATAAGAAACCACTATTTCCGGCCCATAATAGAAACAACATACATGCCATTGGTTTTCCTATCCAGATATGTGTTTTCACGGGAGAGCCAGAGATAGTGGTTCCTTATTGCAAAATGTAATCCAATTATAACAACTAACGTTCAAACGAGTAATACATTTTATTAAACATTACATTTAATAAAGAAAAATAATAGAATTAAACAAATGGTAAGACATATGTGATTTATAAAAAAATTTAAACTAACTAAAAAAATTAGTATTTTTAAAACACATAATTATAATTATGAAAATAACAGAAAAGGGATAATAGTTAAAGAGATAATAGCTATTATGAAAATAATATCAATTAGAACAAAAACTCTGTTTACAATAACTCAGGACATACGATACAATCGGACAAAATTTGGAAACTTTAAGAGCTTATAACTCGGAAAAATCTAGACTATTAGATTTCAAAAATGGTTCCGTTGGTTTTTTCGTGTAATCCTCTCCTTGAAGCACCCCTCAAAATTTGAAATGTGAAGAAATAAACATCAAAATAGGCCGTTTTAGTCGAATTTCTTGTCCGACCTCA